TATAAGGCACATACTTTTTTTTTTTTTTTTTTAAAACCACATGTTCTGAAATATTCTTACAGTTGTGCTATTCTGGATGGCCCATCACAGCTACTTGGGGTTTTTTTTTTTTTTTTCCATGATTTTGGACAAAAGGAATGAAAGACCACGACATGCAGAAAAATACAGAAAACCAAGAACGAAACAAAACGCGACACGTTGCTACAATGTACGCTACAACGGCAATGATCAAATCTTCTCATTTCTTTGCCCGACAAAGCATTGACAATTGCAAAGCATTCTTTGTTTTGCACTGTAAATACCTGACTTTATTTAGATACACAGATGTTTATCACTGGATTGCCACAATACCTGAAATAAAAAAAAGGCTGGGTTTTTTTAAGTCTGTCTTTCTAAAACTAAGCTGCCAAATAATTGTTGTTGGAAAAATGTGAGAAATAATAGGTAACTACAAAAGTGCTGAACTAGAACAATGTCTGAGAAGAGAATAATAGTTAAGGAACATATTAAACCAAATGGCAACAGTTCTAGGCATTTATTCCAATATCTTAGAAAATAAAAAATATTCTTCATTGCATCACCATTTGAAGAAAGAAAAACAATTTTTTAGATTAAGCCGAAAGAAGATGTGAATTGTTTTCTCCACCCCCCCCACCTCCCCCAACTAGAACAATGTCTGAGAAGAGAATAATAGTTAAGGAACATATTAAACCAAATGGCAACAGTTCTAGGCATTTATTCCAATATCTTAGAAAATAAAAAATATTCTTCATTGCATCACCATTTGAAGAAAGAAAAACAATTTTTTAGATTAAGCCGAAAGAAGATGTGAATTGTTTTCTCCACCCCCCCCACCTCCCCCCACCCCATGCTGTGGCATACAAAAATTCCAGCCCCCACCCCTCCAACTTTTCCATGCCCTATTAAACTGCAGAACAGCTCCACAATCAAGCGCCTTATCCGAGCAGTAGGACTAAGTTGAGAGCATGCATTCCCACACACACGCTCAGCCAAAAAAAAAAAAAAAAAAAAAAAAAAAAAAAGAAAAAAAAAATTCCATGACTATTTGAAATCCACCTTAAGGCAAATAGATACGTATTTTTTCTACCTCTTGCTGAAAATGTTTACTTTTCAAATTTCAAACAGGACTCTGAAATTCAGTAAATGAACTAATGTTTGGCATAAAGAATGCTTTAACCAAAAAAAAAAAGGAAGAAACAAAGAGGAAATGTTTTTCCCAACAATAAATCAATTCTTTTGCCTTAATTCTATCTATGTTTTGTTAAAGCATTTTATGCGCTTTCAATAACATCAGATTGCAAGTTTTTTGGCAACTTTTTTTTTAATAAAAATTCAGACAGTGTTCTCTGTTTGCAATCAGAACCACAACCTTAGTGCAATATTATATTTATTTCTTACAGTAATTTTGGTTGCCATACAAGAGTATTAAGGATTGGGGAAAAGTGCAAGTTACAGGAGCTTGATTTTTTTTAATCAGTCGAAATAAGAGGAATTAAAGCACAAAAATTACAGCAACATAGATAACGTGAACACAAGTTGTTACACAAACTATAGCGAGAAACATATTAATATCTAGAAAAGAAAAGAAAAAATGTAATGGAAAAATTATCAATATTTGTGGCTCATACACATAATCATCGCCAGATCAACTGGGTAATGCTTTTTAAGAACTGAGAAAAAAAAATCACTATTTTTTAACTTAGGTACCACAAATAATTAACTTTTGTGATATGTAAATTCTGTAAATCAACAGTCACATCTAGTCATTTTATAATATATGAATTAAACTTAAAATGTTCTCAGACACCTAGGGAAAGGAGTCTGTGCAGTTATACACAATTTACATCTTGTAAGATTTTGGTATTGTATACACAAATATTACAGAAACTAGGCATGTAAATGCAATTTATTTAAATTACAGTATATAAACAAAAGTTGATCCTAAAACCCAGAATATCATAACGTATTTCATAGATCTCTAACAACTTGTTTTTCACTATCATAGTAGCATGAAATAAATGGGTCTTCTCTCCTCCCCCCCCAACATTTCCAGACTGATGAAAATACTCGGAGGCAACGTCGTATCTGTTACTATTGCTTTCTGTAGCAAAATCATCTCAGAGCTAGAGACCAATTCATCTTGGCAGAGGTGTGGTTTATTGGTGAAAGTAGGTCCTCTCAGGTCTCCTCACCTTTACTTTGTAAGACACAATGTAAAAATAAACTATTTCGTTAGCTCTTTTAATGTGTTAAACCTCTTTTCTACTAACGGTATTGTACGTATTCTTTCAGTACCTGAAAAGATACACAAGCAAGAAACACACCTGTGTAAGAAAGGGCTTTCCGGCCATTGGAATTTACTGTGTATGTCAGCACTTGCTCAACAGAAACTCAACAAGAAGGTTGTGATTAAAAAGCAGCTTAAAAGTCAACTTCTACATTTTCTTTTACTACTGTATTTTCTAATGTACTTTCTGGCACATATTATAGAGGTAATATCAACTGTACCCAAAGAAATAAAAAAAAAGAGCATGGCATTAGTGGTTTATTTACTGAATTCTGTCGTATCACCAAATGGAAGACAATGATGGCTAAATTACCATTTTTACACTTCTTAAAGTATTTGATGGCCTCAAGTTGCCTGTATCGACTAGCTGAAGGAAACTGCCATTTTCTACACCACCTACGGAAAAACTCAGTACTCTTGGAAGTAAAATGCCTTAGTAATTGATTTTTATTACAAGGTTACTTGGAACTTTCAAATACAAATATAGCGTAGTAACAGATGTTAAGTAAGTCAAAAGATTTGTTGTTCCGTAAAGGGGGCAGGAGGCTGAATAGGTTGCTTTTTATGAGTATCCAATGCGTTGGTAACTATAACCACTTTTGAAGAAATATTCATCCTCCTTTGTAGAAGTTCTAGCAAAGATAGAAAATATAACACAGCTCTGCTGGTTCAGATGCATCCAAATGAGGTTGATTTTAAAAAGGTCAAGACTTTATAATTATTCCACAGAAATAGTAGTAAACCACAAAAGTTTTTTTTTTTTTTTTTTTTTGTTTTTAACTTTCTAGCACTGAAGTGGCACAAAGGCTGCCCAGTAGACCAGCCACTTATTTTTCTTAAAATATTGTGCTTATAAACTATCTGTACAACTATTTAAACTTGCAGTAAAGAAAGATATTTAAAATGCTAAACTTTATGTACTCATACTAGGGCTGTTGCAGACCTAATTAGACACTTGTTTGTGAGCAAAAATAATCACAATAAAAAAATTAGAGATAGGCTGGACCATATCAAGGACCATATCAAGGAAAGAAAGTTCAGGTACCTTGCAAAATGGAAGAGAACCTGAAAGTATGGTAGGCAGGCAGTCTAGCCATCCACGCACAATTTACCCACCTTGAACATCTTGAATATTATGTTAATAAAGACCTACAAAACTCACAGATATTAAGAGGTGTTAATTACAAGGGGAGCTCAAACATGCAGAGAGAGACTTGTTAACTTTAAAAAAAAAAAAAAAAAAAAAAAAAAAGTCAGATTTACCAAATCTGTGTGTTTCCCCCTGCTGACTGAAGTCTCCTGGAAAGCTCTGGAGCTCTACCACCCCACCACCCAGTCCATGCTCGGCCACAGCTGCCTGGTTCCTAGCAGGGCGCGCGCACCTCTCCTGCCGCCTCGCTAGCAGCCGTGCAAAGAAATCACTGCAGTGCTCAGTCTGCTGAAAAAAAAAAAGTCAGATTTACCAAATCTGTGTGTTTCCCCCTGCTGACTGAAGTCTCCTGGAAAGCTCTGGAGCTCTACCACCCCACCACCCAGTCCATGCTCGGCCACAGCTGCCTGGTTCCTAGCAGGGCGCGCGCACCTCTCCTGCCGCCTCGCTAGCAGCCGTGCAAAGAAATCACTGCAGTGCTCAGTCTGCTGTCCTTGTCAAGAAGCCAATACCTGTGAACAGCGATAAAAAGGAGAACCTGGATACCTACCCAATTCTCCTGGCCCTTGGAACACATGCATTCTGAGACACCACACGCCTCTCTCCACCTCGGCATTACCTCTTTACCTTTTTTGTCTTTTTTTTCAACAAGCTGAAACATTGCCATTCCTGTTAACAGGCTGAAATCCCTCGCTCACTTAAAATACTGGCAGCCTTCCCACTGGCTTCAATGGGAACATTCATCTGCCTCCTTCTTCCTTCTTGGCCTGGCGTTCAAAATAGCTAAGCACTTACCACTCACTGAATTAGACAGCATCTCTCAGGGTTCAGCATACGTGCGTATCTGACTGTGAAGTCCGAAAGATGCGTCTGTACGTAACCCCAAATTTTTACTGGCTTGTCGAGTTCTTACTGTGACTTAGCAGTCGTTTAGCTGGTTGAAAACTGGGGGTCTCAGGTTCAAACTAGCTTCATTTTGTTGTACCTCTAAGTGTGCGTTCCTCCTCAGTTTTTATGCAACGTCTGCATCATCTTACAGGTCAAGTCAATGGAGCATGTATTGAACTTGTTCTGCCACCTTGGAAGAGTGCTAAGTATAACAACTGCAGAAATAAAGAAATACCAGGTAAAACAGAGCAAGGTTACCTTTGAACTAATTCCAGCAGAACAACCAGCTTCACTGCCAACAAATCAGAGAGCTGAACTAGTAAAAAACAGTAATATGAACTCCTCCACCTGTCTTAGTATCGTGCCTCTGCTACTAATAAAAATGGGTTCGAATGGTAATGAAGCAATCTGTCCTCTTAAAATGAACTCAGGGTTGGGGAAGGAAGCCTGCTCGGAGACTGAATGTCAAGAAGAGAATATAGTGCTTTTCAATAAAAAAATGAAACGCTTGCAATTTTCAATGGAAAGAAAAGTCGTATGTTAATGGTTCCAGCAGAAGGGCATTATCAAGAGATAGTATTTTTGAAGTTAACAATTTTCTCTCTCTCTCTCGTATCTCCCCACAACTTTGAAATAAAATGGCCCCACTCGTGTAACATATTTAGGTTTATGTTTGGGCATGTAGCATACAGTCTGCATCACCTGAGTACCAGGAATTCAACTGTTTTCCCCCACCCCCCCAATTTTGCTGGCACTCGCAGACAACAAGGCATTTGGGGTATTTCAGTACCAGCCCATCTCTAGTTATCAACAGAAGTTTGTGAGGCAAAATAGCTATTCTTATCTGTCCAGCAGCTGTTTCAAAGCTCTTTCTATGTTCATTCTGTGCCCAACTCTAGTCACTCCAAGGTCTATCAGGTCTTCCTTTTGTAGATTTGGTAAATGAGTGCCATCTATTTCATTGTCCATAAATGTTTCTTTATGTTCACCTAAGTTTAGACTTTCCAACCAATCTGCCACATCTGGTTTAGTCCACAGGTGGACAGGCTTAGTTGTAAAAGGCTTATTTGAGATTGGCTGTTGTAATATTGAGGGAGAAGGAGACCTGCTGCGCCCTGCGGTCAAGCCAAATAAGTCCCCAGAAGGGGGCTGGCTGGGTAGGCTAAATACATCGGACAAAGTTGGAGAAGGAGATGAAGCTGAAGCAGAAGCAGTCAGAGGAGCAGGCATGATGTCTTTATTAATCTCTGTTGGTGAAACCACAGGGCTTGGAGCATGTCTTGCTCCTGAGGTCCTACTGTCATAGTCTGGGGACCTGCTCTGCAGTGTGATCGGCTGGCTGGTTCCAGGTCGGACAGTGAAAGTGATTGTTGTACTTCGTGTACCTGAGACAGTACTCATGACTTCCGTGCTCCTGAAATTGTAAACAGACATGGAAAGTTAGAGGTATCAGCCACCAGCTGGAAGGTTGACCATATCAACAAGTGGTAAATACGGTTTTGGAACGCACGAATATTTCCATTTTTTAATGAGCAATATCAGGTTAAAAGCACTAAGATGGCATCGTTAAATCTTTTCCATAAAACAATCATCAATGGTAAGCCATAGTTAAAAACAAAACTTTTGCTAATGAGCAGTTCAGATAAACACCTTCCAGTGCACATTCTTGCTTTTTAAGGCTACACCAAATTAACTCATGGTTAAATGAGAAACGCCGGGTGGAATAAGCACACGGGTACTTTGTGCTCCCCATGAAGTGCAATCAGGAGTTGATCTTCCCTTCGTTGTATGGAGGGGTGGGATCCTTCATTTCAGTTCTAACCTACCAGTTTTACACACTGTTAGGTAATAACAGTAGTTATGGAAAGTATTGGAAGCACATTATTAATTTGGATTTTTGGATCTTTGTGCATCTACCCAGTGAATTTTAGGGTATGTTGCTATTCCCATTCATTCACGGAACATGCTCCACAAGCTCTTTTTATTTCCCTTTCTGTTCAGCTGGCCTTTTCATGCTTTAAAAACTAAACAGTCCTTCTAAGGTTCATAAAAGGACTTCTGTGTCCATTTCCTTCTACACAGAAATTATACTTTGGCAGTTTCACTAAAAAACTTAAGGAGACAAAATTCTTGTTACTGTGCATGCCCAGAGGTGATGTAGTTGCAATCAAGTCACCGGCACTTAGCTCTTGCCTAAAGGAAATTTCAGATGACAAACTAAGCAGGCACGAAACGTGCCGAGAGGCGAGCTCTGATGCCGAGGGTGACAGGGTGGGTGAAAGAGCAGACGAGTCTGCTTTTGTCTATTGGCTATAAAACAAATTTAGAAGCAGAAGATCCAGGTACAGGTCTCCTCATATCCTAATACGCTTAACTCCACAGCCCTTATTTCTCATGAGAAAACTCTGCCAGTCAGTGTGAGCACTTCAGGCTCTTCCACTGAACCCTTGGGTGCCTGAAGCTCCGGAGTTTTCACTTTTGAAATACCCTGCCCACTAGGAAAACCTTCAGACAACTACTTTCAGGCACTTCCAGACCAAAGTAAGGATTTATTTATCCTTGAAGTGATGCCACGGACTCCAGAGGACAATCTGGAGGACGCCGTGGTTAGATTTCTAACCCAGACCCCGCCTGAAGCCCTCTGTACCGCAGTGCCAGATTGCCCCCAGGCCTGACCCATCGTGCCTGGGCAGAACTGAAGATGACTTGGGTGCTCGATGTCGGATACAAACGCTTTCATTAACATCCCAGATTCACCACTGTGCAGGAAAGATCTTACAGAGCCCAAGAAAGAGCGTGGTTCTGGAGCCCCCGTGTTTAAAGTGATGTTATGGAAGAAACTGCGGTCTCTTCCTAAGCCACCGCTTAAAGATTTTGTGTTAATTGCCACCAAACGAAGTACCAAAAATGATGCATCACAGCAGGGGTCAAAGCACATCTGTTCTTTCTGCGGTATGTCCCTCACCACTAGGTCCGCTTTATAGAGGGCAAGAGGCCCCCTCCTGCTCCTCCGCCCACGTAATCGTGGGGGCTTCGCTCCCTCCTGCAGAGCGCTGCCGCTGCTGGGAAGGAGAGCGCAGCGCGTAGGGTTACCCCGTCTCCCCGGAGCTGCTCCCCAGCGCAACGCACTTCTGAACGCCCACGGAAGGGGAGTGACTTGACTTCGGTCGCCCACATCCTGAATACAAGAGTGGTTAAAATTTTAAATAAAAAGATGGTGGTACCAGCATCACCATCTACCCTAATCCACTCCCCCTGTGAAGCACTCATCCGTTACCAAAATGAAGAAGTGTAGGCAGCTAACGTGAGGCAATAACGGGCTGTTAATCCCTTCCACAGGAGCCTTCCTGCAGTCCTGCTAGTACCGAACTGGAGCCCTTCAGCGTTTCCTCGGTTTGCTGCTGGGCGCGGTGAGCCCTGTGAGATCCACGCTCCCCGCACCACGGCTGGGGCTTCGGCACATCAGTGACAACCCGGGACACCAGGGAACCCGCAGCACCGCTGCTCCGAGACCCAGAGCACGCCTCTAGCGCAGCGAGTCTCCTTCAAATAAAGCTCCAATACCGTGTTATTAGAAAAGCACCAAGAATCACTTTTTGGAGAACGCATTCACATTATTCACATGAGCAAGCCCACTGATTTCCCACAAATTGGTCCATATACTTCAGTAGGAACAGGGGGATCTTTCTGAGAGTTGAAAGATCGGTACTTCACTTAAAACACAGTAGGAACAATACTTTTAGCACTTAGGTCTTTGTAATTTAACAAAGAAAGGAAACACTTGGCAAGGCTTTGAGTGTTTCCTGTGATTTGTTTGCAGCTTAATGGCTCTCATTGTCTTCCAGGACTGGAGCTAAGCATTCTTACAAAGAAAAAGTCTATGGCAAGAAACTATTAAATTCTACTAACCAAGGGGAGCAAGTTATTTCTACCTACTTTAACTTAGCATTAGGAGTCTCACACACTTTAATAAGGCATGATATAGTTTTAAATCAACCAAAAACCTGCTTGGAAAAAGGTTGAGATAATGCTGGCCTAGTGATTGTGAGAAGAGCGGGCTGAGTTTGGTATAAATGTGGAAATGTCTCCCTCTCTCCTTCCCAGCAATTACCCTTTTACTGAACTTTCCCGTCTTGCAAATACTAGAAATTATGGGCTTGTATTCGCACCCATTGTGGCAATATCAACTGGATGATGAAAATCTATCTTCTATTATGCTAGATGCTGAAAGATCCCTTCTGTTACTTGACTGACAACCCCAGGCTCAGTCTACATCTTCTGGCTGTAACTCCCTTTTGCTGCATCTTCTCTATATTGTTCCTTTCACAGACTCCCTGCCCATCCTTGTTCAGGAAATCATTGTCCCGCTTCCTTTAAAGAAGATATATTAAGCCACTAAAACAAAATCACCAGAAGTAAACTGTGTGCTCTTATTTTAAGTATTCCTTAGACTGGTGTTACCTAACTTTCTCAGACCCACGGGCAGCAATACCGGGGGAACAAAGCAATACAGGCAACGTCGTACTTTGCTTTCTGTCAGCCTGGGTCCAAGTGACAGCTTCGCACGGCTACAAGCAATATTAAAAGATCTGTGGGCATCTTGCTTTTTTCAAGGCATACGTTCAGGACTACTGACCATTAAAATACATCTCTGGAACAATGCTAAGAACATTTTTTTTATTTTAGCTGATCAATGAGGTTTCAATACCAGCTCAGTTTAAAGCCACATCAGTACTCAAGCTTTTAGAATTATTAACCCTTTTATGAGAAAGCTCAGAGCACTTTGCTAACATCAGCAGCCTTAATCCTACCGCAACACACCTTCTTCAAGAAAGTTATTAGTTCTTACTGCGCACTTGGGAACACAGACAAGTCTGTGACTCAGAACATGTCCCCGCTGCTGCAAGAGCGGTCCTGCTAGGACGAGCTTTAACCACAGCAACTTGAGGTCACTGCTGCCTGCAAAATTATTCGGCAACCTGCAAGACTTTGTGCTCAGTTCCCAGCTGCTGTGCTTCAGCCCAGCTCTGCTATCAGCTCCGCAGCCTTCATGGCACAGACGCAGCCCTCGTGAAGGTCACGCAAGTCTGCTGAAGCCCACAGCTGCACTTCCAGGCTTTCAGTCTGAAGTCTTTAATTCCAAGATTCGTTTTCTTCCCTTCCTTTTTCCCCTCATTCACCTGCCATATCAACTCCAGCACGTTATAGAGACTGCTGTACTGTAATCATAATCCAAGGGAAAAAACCACGCATATTTGTGTAACTCCTATGCATCCTAAATTATAATTTATGATATCTCCAGTACAATCTGGGATGCAGATACAGCCTTGAAACCATCAGCTGTCTTGCATTTTATGGTTGACTGGTATCCTGGTCAATAAGGAGCAAGTGTGTTCCAAGCGGAGAGCAGGCATGTTTTTGTTCTGTTGTGGGGTTTCCAGATTTTTAATGAGCCATTTCTTATGCCTTGTTTGATCATCTGTTACATTAAACATCTTAAATCCATATTAAACCTGCCTAAACCCAAATTTCATTTTAAGAAGGTGAAAAGTCTGACAATTATTTTAAATAAAATTTGCTCTGTTAGAATCAGCATATGGTAGCAATTTATAATCATTTGCTGCTGTAAGACTGCACTGATTGCAATGCCCATTATGTTGCCTCCCATTAAAATCAAAATATGTAATTCCTATGTCACAATGGTGCGGCCTCCAAGTATAAATGCCATCAACACAACTTGCAGGCCATAAATTCTTTTAAATTTTAAATTAGATTTGCAGGATTCAAGTTTACTGTTAACTTAATATCAGAAGCAAATCAGTGAAAGATGGCACGCAGAAACAGCTCCTAGGAGCCTCCCATGCAAAAAAACCAAAAAACCATCATGCTCTCACGGGAGCTGTTTTATCCTGCAACTTGACAAAAGACTTGCTGTTTCTGACAAGGCTTTTCCACTGTGTCAGAGGAAAAAAATCTTAACAACCAAGAGAACCAATGAGTGAAATGAGTCCCTATACAGTGGTACTGCAAGAAATTAACTTTTTACAGATTTTTGAGAACACACAAACCCAAAACTTTGCCTTCATCTCTTATAATATTTTTACTTTATTTTTGGACTGTCAAAGGAAAATTGTATGGTAGGAAAGTAAGACAATAATTGTCTGTTTTGGGGGAAGATTAAGAACAAGGGCTGATGTGATGACTGGCAGGATACAGAGCTTCTTATAATAGTGTTATTTTAGTGAGAAGAATTGAGAAATGATTAGTGTCTGTTGCAAGTAACACTGTTCAGCTGGAGTGAAGAATAATCATTAAGGTCTGTGGGAGTCTGTTCAAGAACAACAGTTTCCATGTGAATGGCACAAACGTCTGGAAACCGGCAGTAAGGGAATGGTGCTGATGAGGGGCAGAGGA